TTATTTCATATAATCCAACGTTGGGGGGGAAAAACCACACCAAACGACTAAATAGCATCTGGGTTGAGAAAGGCGAGAAATAATTGTTACTTAACCTTAATAATGAGGAGAAAGGACGGGAAGAAGATTGTTTCGGTAAAGCCTCAGATACAAATTAATGCCATGAGACTTTAATTGTCGAGGCTAATTTATATAAGGAAACAAATCTGAAATTACATTATCCTGATTTTAAACAGCTGACCTAAGAGATGATTTTCACTTTTTTTTTATTTTAATATTTTAAGGCTTTATTTATAATGAAATTACTTAAATTTAAAATTTAAATGTGTCTAATTATATTTAATAAAGTTAAAATTATATTTAAAGTGTAATTTATTTACTAAAAATGAAAGTAAAGAAGGCATTGGTCACACAATATATTGGACACACAGAAGCATCTATCAGTACACTAACTTGACAATTATCTCGATTAAATTTAGGTAAATTCGATTAGAATATATTATTATATAAATAATATTAATTATATTATCAATTTCTATAAAAATTCATGCTTCAAAACATGTTTTTCTTTCCTTTATTACAATCTATAACAAACTGATTAAATTAACAGTTAACCAAGGTTAAAGTAAGCTACCAAAGCTTTCATTTATGTAATTTCAATATATATTTTAAGTTATAATCATTTAAATAATTCAATAATTTTGTAACGAGGACACACAAACGTAATTTCGTAGCACAATTGTGTTTATGTGTTTATATATATATATATACAGTCGACCCCCCTATAACACTGCTGATAATTCCGTTTTATATGAATTCCGTGTTGTACGAGTCACTTAGATTTTACAAATACGTATGCCGGGCTGTGAACGGCTCACGTATTTGTAAAATCTAAGTGACTCGTACAACACGGAATTCATATAAAACGGAATTATCAACAGTGTTATAGGGGGGTCGACTGGTATACATTTATAAATGAACGTTTAAAGGTAAGAAAAAAAGGACTTTTTTATTAAAAAAAATCCCACGAAAAAGTAATAAAAATTTCTGTTTTCAAACAAAAGAAAAAGTTTTTCGAGAGCAGATGACGTACATTGTTTATACAGAGGAGATAGCATAAGAGGTAAGGAAGAGAGTAAACCATAAATTTCAACCTTGAAACTCTGCTCTTCTTGCAACAGATAAAGATCGAAACCTTATAAACACACACGTTTAATTTATAAAAATATATATACATTAATGTTTAATTGTTAACGTCGTAAACAATTTACATCTGTTAGTATTAAAAGATTTTTGCAACAAGGATTATTATGGTTCTCTTGAGGTAATGCGTGAAAGTCAAGCAAGTTGATGCGGGTAGCATGTTGGAACGACAGTGAAAAAGTAGCAGTTGTCAGAAAGATTTATACGTGTAATAAAAGTGAACAAATTACAGAAGTAGTGGAGAAAGAGAGAGAGAGAAAGAGAGAGAGAACGTAGCAGCTGTCTTTACTCAGAGTAAAGTTGCTGTTCCTCTGCAGGTCATCGACTGTCAAACCGCAAAACTAGAAGAAAGTTTTCTTATATAAATAGGTCAAATTGTCTTTTCTTATTCTATACCAATTCTTCTATTTAATGGTTCCAACCGATACCTATAAATATCTAACAATCTCACTTATTTACGAGTCCTTCGTGTAAGTAGGAACATTGTTGCAAATGCCAACCATTCTTTCTGGAGGTCTATTTCGAAGAGGAGGAAGGGAAAAAAAGAAAAATGCCATCGTAATTTTATCTAAAATCGAATTAAGTGGATCGTAAATGTATATTATGCATAGCGAAAACATACTTTAATTGTTAAGACACGTGCACAACACGGGACCAGATGTGCCAAACAAGTGACACACGTGAATAGGGTTGATTGTCCTTATTTTTATATTATGATATATTGTCTTTTGAGAGATTTATTTATTTATTTTTATTTTATAAAAGTTTAGAATCCTCAAAAAAAAAGAAAATAAGCCTGTTTGCGAAGGTATTTATTTATTCCACCCCTTGTTTTTTGGTAAGTTTTACTTGGAGCCATCCGGTTTTTATTTCAAAAATGGCAACTTGTATATATATCAGATATGAAAAGTTCGTATGAAAAATAGTACTGTGGTATGGTAAAGAGAATTATTAATAGGTAGGAAAACAAATATTTTAAGCGGTGACAATTCTAATTAGACTCTCAGGCATTTACTCAACGCTAAATAAATGGAATGACATTATAGCATCATTTATATGTAGAAAGTCAGGTTTTATTACTATTCTAAGCAGGCAAAAGACATGGTTAGTTCAAGAACCGAGATACCCTGAAGGTAATTTTTTTTCTGCAAATTATGGGGTAATGACAGAAACTTAGGTCCTATCTATAGGCTACAAATGCTCAATAAATTATGAAATTATGTGACACAATCAAAATAAATGGATGGCACATTCTGTACACGGGGGAACGGAATGCATTAAAGTCCAAATACATGAGGATAAATTAAACATACAACACCAAATGCAGTAAAACAATATGCCCGAATGGATATTAGTGCCAGAGATTTTGAAATCGCATTACCTTAAAGCTGTCACCTGAAGGGACGATTCTACGAGTGACAACTATAAACTGTGACCTTACGATGAGGGAAAGTATGCGCTTAACACAAGAGGAGAGCATGCGCATCTAACAAAACCTCCCCCGTTGCATTACCAGTTTTGGAAGGGGGCAGAGAGAGAGAGAGAGAGAGAGAGAGGCAAAAGCACATGGACGACTGGTTTATTCATCAAACTACATTTTTTAAACAGAGACGATCGTTTATTCATGACCTTTTCCATTTATTCATCCGTCCAAGCTGTATGCACGTTATCAATAAATAACGGGCATTCCCCTCCCAGACAGACTATTCCCTCCTGGAACTTCAACTAAACCCAACTGGCGTTGCTAGGTTACATTTATTGGCAGAGAACCCGATGAGGGAAAGTGGCTTGGGACAAATGAGAATCAGAAAAAAAAAGAAAAAAAAGACAATCACAGCAATAAAAAAAAAAGACAACACTAAAACGATTTTCTAACGACAACGCTGTGCAAAATGAAGGTCAACATTGATACAAGGTGGCCTCGAATGGTGAAGAATCTGCCTTCAGATAGCTTTCTAGCATTTGTTTTTTTTTTTAATATAAGTTATAATGTTAGAAAATGCCTGAGGTATTAAAAAAATAAATAAATATTATTCGCTACTTTCGAGTGTTTTAATCACAATTTTTCTACGATAAATCTCCAATATTTCGCAATACATTAATGATAAAATGCGAGACAATCTATCAAAAAAAAAGAGGTAATTTTTATAAATAAAATTAATAAGAATATCATTTTCCTCAACTTAAGATCATTTATTGATAAAGGCCTTATAAGAATAATATATAAAACAACCCAAGAATAGTAAAAATAGCTTAGGTAATTGCCCCAAGTAAACACATACATATTTATAAATTAAAAAAATAGACTAACTAACAATATAAAAAAAAGGGGGTGAGGAATTTTAAAGCATTCTATTTTAGGTTTAGACGTATAGAGATTTTTTAGAAAAAGACAGGAGAAACTTTACCATATTTCAATTTTTTATATCCTTATCACAATCGCTACGCGTTGGGAATAATGAGTAATTGTTAATACCTTTAATCATATTGGTTCCTGTGTGAGAAAAATGGGAACCACGCAGAGATAAAAGGGAGAAGAGTAAGGTCAATCGAGATGCTCGTCCTTGTACGAACCTGTCAAGAGAAATTTCAGCTTGTTTTCAAGGTCAAACAAAAGCAACTGTTTCGTCCAGTGTAGCCTGCATTCAGGACGAGTTCATTCAACTAAAAACTGCAAGTAAAAATGCCTTATATATATATATATAATTTACAAAAGCTACAATTGTATTTCGGGGGGTGTGAGTCATTTGACAAATGTAAACAAACGTTTATCCACATAATCGTTACAAGCTTGTTTACTTTACAGGCTATTACTAAAGTATTTTATTATTGCCTAACGATACGTTCACTATTCACAATTTGTTCTCATTCCTAAATTTCTAATTAGTGAGATTTTGGCAAGATGCCACTAAATAGTAGAAGAAAAATGGGATGTTTCTTATAAGAAATAAAAGGTTTTTAAATGTAAGAAAAAGAGAGATTTTTTTGAATATTTTTAATTGAAAAAAATCAATGCGAACTCGATATTCCGAAATGTATATATATCTGGTTAGTTGCCAAACAAATAAGGTTTAAAAACGGGTTGGACAACTGGTTCTACTGTTTCTGTAACCGCCATAGAAAAACTATGTGAATTGAGTGGAGCCAACCAGTCAAGTTAGGGTTACCGATCACACAGGAAACACTTCTCATTTTACCACGCTCTCCGTCCCCTTTGCTCGATCGACACACCACGTGATGTCAAGCGAGTTGCAGTGGCTTTCCCTTTCGTCTTGGCTCCGGAATCATCACTCTGCCCCCAACGAGAAATTGGCAAACGTTCTATCTTCCTTTACCCCCAACGGCTGCCAACATTCATTTACCGACACTACACTACACGGGATAAGTAGTGGCTGGTGCCGTATTGATTACGCGCTCAAAGTTAAACCCCGCCTACGACAATGCCATATTGTTCGCAGTCTCGGTATGTCAAGACCGGTGGATTAGGTCCGCCGATGCTAAGGCAAAGTGCAAGCGAAAACAATGCGTAACCGACGACACTAGTAAACAATAAGAAAAAACAATAAATTGCGCCCACTTCACCGGTTACGTTTCGGGACGTGTTGGCCACAAACTAAGATTCGGGGCGACACAAAGACTAAAAGTAGCGTGCCCCTCCCAAGGGTATGGCCTGCCGATGCGTGCAGTGGTGCCTGCGGCTAGCACGCCCGTGACTCGCCCAGGTACCCCCGGGTTTCGACCGATGAACGGCATCCCCCTCCTTTGTTCGATAGCAAGGCATCGCGCACGTTACTTACCGACTTGTAGGACGTTATCCACACTGCCAGTTTCGTATAACCTTAGTCCACGATAAAACGGTAATTTCTGATAATCACTACATCCACTATTTTCACTGGACAGCGACGAATACATACATATGTCTGCCTCGTTACGTGGAAATGACCAATAGATTATCCTTTTCTGTACAGGCTCCGGTATACGACTGTACCTCTCCTCTATCCTCTGAAAAGGAATGTGGAGAGCCACCACTTTGGCACAGATGTCCAGCAAAGTGTCCGCTTCTCTCTTATCTTCCGTTTTCGTATCACTGCCGAGCAATCGGATACCATTTTGGCCACAATTACTGCCTGGCCGAGAACAACAGAGTCTGGGCACCGCCGCCATGTTGAAACATCTGATACCAGGAGCCGGAGGGCGCATGCGTCGATCTATTTAACCCCCGTATAGCGCTTGCGTGCTACTACGACGCGAATCAGAATGCACGAGTCGGGCCTTCTGCTATCCCGGGGGATTCTGGCGCTGCGAGTCGTCGTGCCCTGCAAAGTGGATACACTACGACGGGTAATTCACATGTTTTTCATTCAAATACAAGGCGCGCCGCTTGTGTACACACGACGTGAAGTGTGTCACTGCAATAGCTCGCTTCTCTCGCATCGATCTTCCCTTTCGACCCCTGGACATGCCCAAATTTTCTTAACATTCGTCACTCCCCGTCTAAAAACGCATTTCCAAATTGATCTCCGTCCAAAAAAATACTTTCTTTTCGGACCCGAAACTCCAAACGACCACTAAAACTAATTGACACCGCCTTTTTTTTCTTTACAAAACAACGCTTTTTTTCTATACAAATTCCAATATTTTACCTACATTTAAGCGCATTTTTTTCCACCCGTGACGTATATAATTTACAAAAAAATCGATTTTTCGCCCATTACGTAATTTATGCTATGTTTTCCTTAACTTCAATCAATATCGGTGACAAATTCCCTAAACGAATTCACTTATCTTCTTCGTTACAAAACAATAATTATCAAATGTTATATACAATGTATAACTATGTATAACCTATTATATATATACAGTACACGCTCTCCTTCAATTGTTATACGACTTTAGGTGTTTAAATGAACAATTTTTTAAACCTCGTGTGTACGAAATTTTATATAATACAGTGTATATAAGAGTATAGTTATTTTTCGGGGGTGGAAGTAGATATAATGCGTGTAGTGTGTAGTGTAGTGTACTTTGACAATTTTAAATAATAAAATTATTGTGGATCCGCATCTAAGAGAATTGTTCGATTAACCAAATTGTTCGGTTAATGGTATCACTAATGATTGCACAATCCCATTTCTGTATTTGCAAAAGTATCATCTGCGGTTTAGTGCTATTGTTTAATGATTGCTCCGGAATAGAAGGCATCTGCTCTACTTCAAAATGCAAATAAATTAACATGTTTAGTACACTTAATTATTGTGCTGGGCATGTTCTTTCTCCCTCTCTTTTTCTTCCATCTCTTCTTTCTACTCCCTTCTTTTCCGTCTTAAATGGAAATACATGGAAATTACCAAATTTTTCTTCTCTTTTTTTCTTCTTCTTCCCCTTCTTTTCTTTGTCTCTTTAAAAAAAAAAAAAAGAATCTTTTATACGTTGATTTCTATTTTGTGGCATTTTTCTCGTATATTTTAATACATTAAAATTACTTTCGAGGGGTTAAAAAAATTAAAATAAATCTTAAACTAATGAATTTTTACGTATATACTTTTTAAATTATATAATATTATTATTTTTTTTTTATTATAGAAATCTTTTCCCCTGTACGAATACTTCTTCGCTATACTTTACTGTATACCAAGTAAGCTCTGTTGCTTTTATCTTTTTTTTTCTCAAAATACCAATGATATAAATACTTAAATATAATAATTTAATAAAAAAAAAGTATTAATTCCTTTAAACCAAGTTAAAACTGATCGATCTTTAAATCGATTCAATCGATCCAAAATGGTGGATCGTCGATTAAACATGGCGTTCGATGAATAAGTTATATACTGTATTTTTTAAATACGTATTCTTTTTAGATTTAAAAGGTTAAAAAATGTTATTTAAAATAAAAGAAGACTTTTCTCTTTAAAACATTAAAGGAAATTTCTGTAAAAGAAGAAAGAAAAAAAAAAAAAAACTCCTCTCCCAGTTGTAACAATTTTACAATGAGTCAGTAGTCGACCTCCATTTTGTATAAATTTATGTGTTACATCTAAGAGATTTACTTATTCAAAAGCAATTCTTGGCATTATTTCTTTCGGTTTGGTGTGGCAATTTCTAAATTCACTGACACAATCCTACTTTCTCATTCTCATCTTGTGGTTAGACAACTGAATTTTTAACCACATTTCCCCTGCTTCTAACTAAATATTTTATATGACAAGCACAATGGGACTGATAGTTTTCTATGGAAGATAAAATTTAGTTTAGTTAAGATATGATGAATTGATTATATCACTATTATTTGTAGGGGAAAAAATAATAATAATAATTAACTTCTTAAAAGCTCAGTTTGAATCGATATAACCTTTTCTGATTGGTAGATTTACAAGAATAGATGAAATTTTAGTTATTTCCCTTATAGAATATTGTAAGATTCAAACGTAAATGGCTTTCTAGAAAGGAAGAAAGTTGGATGAAGTATTACCATCGATAAATATTACTACAAAAATCTATACTTCTGACACTTCTCTATCGAATAAAAGCAAGAAAACTCAGGTAGGACATTGATCTTGGCTTCTATACTTATAATTTATCGTTGAATTAGATACTTAGTAAGACATTAGATGGGTATATAAAACGTGTAAGACATAAAAATGACAATTTACAATAATATTGTAAACGTAAGAATCCGGGTCATTTATATTTGTAATTTTTCTAGAATATAATATCGATCAACTTTATTCTTCAACTAACGATAGGCTATTAAGGACAACATTAATATATTAATTTTTTTTTCTATAAACTATTGTAAAAAATGCGATTAAAAACTGAGAATAATCTCCGTTCTACTAACACGATCGTTAGATTTTTTGTTTAGATTATAAACTAATTGAGATTAGAAAAATTTTTTTTAATATTTTAATTCTTTTTAGAAAAAAATAGCTCTATATATTGATTATAATTATGCTCTTTGTAACACGCATTTTTAATAAATAACACGTTCCCCGCCGCACATAAAAGAGTAGTAGAGAGTTGTGCTTTTTAAATGTTTAATTTGACAGGAAGGAATGCTTTCGACATTAGAAAAAAAAAAAAAAAGTATTATTGACAAAGAATGACTAAATATAATAATTTTATCATGCTCTACCGATGAAACGAAGCATTGGTTTTTAAATATATTTATGGCATTATGTCTACCACACCTGTCATTAGAATATATATCTGTAATTTTTACTAGAAAGGAAATCATTTTATCTATACCAATTATTCGAGTGAATGTTGGAGAATTTTTAATATATATATATAGGCCTATATATATATATAACTAATACATATATTTTTATATTACTGAAAATTGTTGCGGCGCGGCGCAACAATTTTCAAGCATTTTCAAGCATTTATAATCCAAGCATTTTCAAGCATTTTCAACAATTTTCAAGCATTTTCAAGCATTTATATTTCAAGCATTTGTAATACAGTTGTGCCGCCCCGCAACTGTATTATAAATGCTTGAAAAAAAATGAAATAAATTAATGAAATTTTATATTTTATAAAGTATTTTCTTCTTTTTTATATATATAAAAATGAATAAATATGATTTCTATATGTTATATCCACTTTAGAAATTGCTACAGTATCTATAAGATTATTGGAAAAACCATCTTTGATAATGGGATCAACTAATCCCTTACAAGAAGGGCAGGTGGATATATCTTCCATTATCTATCCAAAAAATGTATTTCAATAAAATAAATATTTTATTTTTCTTTAGCTAAAGGTTAAATAAACATTGAATAGTACAGGCATTTTTTTTTTGAGAGTGATTGCCCCAGGCCTTTTTTTTTCTTCTTCTTCTTCTTTGGATAGAGGAAAGCCGTGACTAGAAAAACTTTATCTTTGACACGAGGAGGGCAATCTTATATAGCGGACAATCGGATACAAAAGAGAAAGTGTGGGAATGCAAGACTAACCAAGTGTGTTCTATGCCAGGAAACAGGCAGTCTTGACTAGGTAAGCGAATAATGGGGTAAGCCTACTGACTCTATACCAGTAAAAATAATTTTTTTTAATAGTCGTATCGTCAATTATCGGCAATAAAATAATTGTAAATGTAAAAATTTACATTAATAAGCAATATTAAAAAATAATTATTTAAATATATTTTATTTATTTATTTATTTTTTAAGTTAAGAAAAAGAATTTTTATTTAAAAAACACTTTTATTATTCAATTTTTTAAGTTTTGTTTTTTTTTTACAATTGTACAAAACAAAAAAGAATATATTTTTAAATGCT